TTATTCGCGTTTTTTTTTTTTATTTGAAAAGCAAAACCGACGCACGTCGTCCTTTCAAATGGAAATTATAAATAAATAATGCAAACGAACCCGTAAAATGTCACAGGAGAATTCGCAAATATAACCCACTGTAAAACTAATATGCCATTCTATGTCACCGGACTACTGTAGTGCTGCGAAGAGTTTAATTTATACTTTCTATCGTCGTTCACTAAGCACATAGAAAAGCCAATGTTTAAAATGAGATTTACTTCAAATTTGTACGCAAAGAGCTCAAAGTTTTAAATAGATTGTGGTCATCATTTCTTAGACCGTAATACGTATGATGTGAGGAAAATTCGTGTCTCTACTAACGCGTTGGTTAAATTTTTTACTGGGCTAATCACTTGTTGGTTTTACTCTCCTCGAATAAACTCCGTCGCCCCCAAAATATAAAATCGAATTACATATTTAATCCCCGAAGGGTTGGCCGTTGTGTTATTGCCATTTCGGGTACAACAAAATGATTTAGGATTAAGATGTCAGTTTTGCAATTAACTTAAATAAATTATCAATTGACATGCAAGCTAAGCCGAAGTTATTACAAAATATATAATACGTAAACAAATTTATCAATAAAAAGCAAATAAATACTTGATGTATTAAACACTTATAACGCGCATTGAAGCATTTATGTAGGACGCGGATAGTAAGATATACTATGGTCAATTAAGATAAATTATAAAATAATTATGTATTAAAAACTTCTATGAACATTATATATATATATTGAATTTCTTAGATATGCAAAGGTTTTAGCTTGCAAATATTGTTGAAACATGTAAACAGGTTTCGATGAAAACAAATGAGTTTTTGAGATTCAACGAAAACTGACCTTTTTAACAGTAAATAGTTTATGGAATTACAGTGAAAAATAAAAAGAGTTTGAGACATAAATCATATCGGCTTACGAGCATTATCCTTAAAGTAGCTGGGAATTAGTATATAAAGCAGTAGGATCATACTTGCTGCGTGTAGTACACAATACCACATTAGTTTAAACTATTTAATATAGACACACTTGGCTGTGATTTTAAATACTGTTAAGTTGCATTTGATAATCTTCTATTTGACTCAGCAGACAGTGTAATGTGTGAATCGCAATAAGAGCAACTCGAGTTTGATATGAAATGTAAGTGTAAAATATTTAACGTATTTCGTTTTCAATTAGGTGAGTCTGGTGGTTAGAAATGTTGTCGGTATATTCAAATACTAATATCTATCAGTTTTCGCACTGTTTGAACTGTCTCGCGACGATTTTTCTACACAATAACAATTCGATTTCTCTTGTCCGGAAACGAACGACATTTTCTTGAAACAGTCAACGCTGCAACTTTATAAATGTATGGAAGTGCTTGGAGCTGTGTGTACTTGCACTGGACAGAAACCGCGCAGTGATGAAGCAAACATAACGGGAAGTGAGGCATATTGGGAGACGACCAGGCATGTAATATAATCAAAGCGCACAAACGGGATTACAGGCCAAATATAGTGTTACAAAGGGGGCCCGCAGCGGATTAGGATACATGTTTGTATTGTATGGGCAACGAGCGTCGCAAGTCGCGTGGCACGGGGAGGGTTTGTGTGCAAGTCGGTTTTGACGAATGACTTGGTTTATGGCCGTGGACAAGTTCAATTAAGTCTGGCCCACCATTGCCGCCGGTCGTCTTTTGACCCCTGTTCCTCATATCGCATAGAATTCTGCATCTTACACTTATTCCCACTACGTCCCAGCGGGGAGCTCAGTTTTATTGGTATTCACCCGAGCGCCGACGCTATTCCTTCATATTGCCTCGTTCGACGTCCGCACGGTCGGGATCATCCGCTTAAGTCCTCCTCCCTACACCTAGAAACACAATAAAACAACCTATTGCACGTCTTCCCCTCGTTATGCCAATCTTCATTCTCCACCTGCTTCAAGTCGGGTTACGGTTGTTTCATTGCAGCGCGGCCGCAGATATTCACATTTGCACAATTATTATTATTATTGTTATGGTTATATCAGTTCTACGATACCTACTCATGCCCAGTAATCCACCACGTCGTTCTTCAACAACAATTGTTAACCAAATACAAGACGAATCTCGACCTATCGAAATGCAATTACATTCCCCCAATAACGACTGTATGGGAAATCATGAGTAGAATTCCATTATAAGTCGGTGTGCAAACAAAAGGGAGGGACGTTCTCAAGCTGGCCACAACACAGAGACAGTTAAACGCATAACTTTATGGTGATAAAAAACCTCATAATTAGACGACCTGTTTTTTCCCAGTGCAATTCAAACCATAATTATAACTTGCATCCAAAGAAAGCAAACGAAATTTATTCGTCGTTCAATTTTGTTGTGCACAGTTATCGAGTAAATTTTGCAGGCAATTAGTTTCGACAAACAATTTAGGGGAATTACAAAGTGATTAATTGAAAATCTACCGAACGGCATATGTCATTCAATTAAATTTCGGTTGAAGTAATCGCAAATACAACAAAGTTTCAAACGTTTCATTAAATGTTCACATTTCGATAATTTAATATTATGCTGCAGGCTAGTTGACCTTGTCTTGACAAACACTATTGGCTTGAATTGCATTGCAAAACTGGAAAACAGTATTTCTCATACATAACTTAATCCCGAGTACAAGGAAAATTACCTCCCCCCCCCCAAAAAAAATCCGTATAGTTTTTTGTATTTTTATCATCAAGTGTCCTTTGCGTTGTGTGGTCTGGATTACGGCCAATATGACCGCAAAGGCATAGCCGTTTTGTTGATCGATCTGAACGCGGCCACTCGTTTATTTGTGTGTACTGTTACGGCACCACGCGCCCATCGAACGGGGTGTGACTCCTCTCCCTTTCCATAGGTTTTGGCAAAAAAGAATCAATTTATGACCCGACGAGATTTAAAACGGTGTCGGGGTGTTTTTCGATATTTTATTTTTAACCACACGTGCCGCCGTTTAACCCCCTTAGTACATATTATTATACTGTGTTTGTGTATATATATTATTAATGCAGTTATTACTATTGTATTGCCGTCGCGCAATAACAATATATTGTCCGTGTGTACAAAGTTAATACGTTAAATCTGTTTAAATTAACGCATTACACGTGATAAAGTACCGTTTGAGTCTGCGAGAGTACGTATTATAATATTATTTTGCGTTTCAACTGTGAACCCGCTGTTAGGTTCACAGTGGTAGTTTGTTATTAATGGCAACCAATATCTGTTAATCCGCAGAGAATGAAAAATTGGTCGTGAAAAAACTGCACCGTTAACCGGGTAAATGTTTCGCGTCATCGGAGTCGTGTTATTTATTTAATTTTTTGCATGCGCGTGAATTAAAATTAATTTCCGATTTTATTATCATATGCGAAATAATATTATATATTCAATTATTGAATGATGGTCATTTTATCTCGATTTTGATATTATTTCTTTGGCTTGAAGTAGTTGAATAATGTTTCAATTACACCGAGAAACCGATTGGTTCAACGCCCAAAAACAACTATCAAGATTGTTTATGGAAGAAAAATAACGAAACTTTAGCAGAATTATTAAGTGTTTTAAAAGATTTAGGATTAAAATTATTCATTCAATTTTTCTCAACGAACACAATTATATGTATGCTTATCTTAGCTGCGACAAATTAAAGTAAAAACTAACAATTCTAGTATTTTTTATAACCTCTGAAGTAAATAAAAACTCAATCAAATTGTGTTGCACCCTAAGAAATAAATCATGGCGTTTTGTTGGATTTACTTTTTTGTTTTTTGCTAACATATTATGTATTTAGTTTTGTTTTAATAATTTGATTTTACTAAAATAAAAATCTCAAAGAACAAGCACAACATCTGGTTACTATATAATTAAGATTGAATAATATTCTTAGGTTTTTCTCGATTATATTTTGTCAATACAATATTTTATATAATAATATGATTTGAATTTTTTTAACTTTCGATTAATAACCAAACTAAATTTTGTGATGCGTATTTAAAATTTTTTTGACAATAATAAAGTATCAATAATAAATAAATAATAAATTCATTTGTTTAGAAAGCCGGTTGGCGTTTTTATTAATAGTAAATACAATTTAAAAGTTAGGAAATCATGACATTAGTGTCATAATTTTCATAATTCATTAAGTACAATTGAACTTACTGAATTATTATTTTAAACTTTTGGTAACCTTGTAAGATCTACTTGACACAACTTCGATGTTGACCACATTGACGTGACTTGCTTTACTATATATGTGAGCTACTTATGGGCGGAGCTTATGTGCTTAGCGTACCGCGGTCCTTTTGCTTTTGCCTTATCCTGTGTTTCCTCCCCTGAATTTACGGGTTGACCCGGTTGGGTAATGAAGATTAACGAGCTTTCTGATTGATGCTGACAACACAGGGTACCCTCCTAGCTCATTATTTACCGGCGGCGGTGTCTGCGGTTCTCCTCTCACCACAGTGGCAATGGTGATAGTGGTGGCATTCACGTTATGGCCAGCCCATCAGCCCCTAAGATTAATGATACGGCACAAGAATTGTCCCCTTCCATTTATAACGTATAATAATACAACGTAAAACCTCCGTTTTGCTGCCGCAAGGAGTAGTCGAGTAAAATATTTTTCCACATTTTATTGTCGAGATACTTCAGATAATATTAAGTAATTTTGAGTCTTTATACGCGGATAAAATTTATTGTCTAGCAAAGCAAAAATCATTTGTTTTTTTATTAAAACAATCAAGTTATCCCATTATTTTTTGGTTTGTTTTTTTTTTGTATTCATATTATCTTAAGAATCCAAGTACAGTGAACGATTTTTTATCATATTGTTTATAAATCAACTTTTCAATTATATAATTTAACAAATTTTTTTTTGTATATTACTTAGGTATGGTTCAAAAATCGAAGAGCTAAATGGAGAAAACNCTTAACAAATTTTTTTTGTATATTACTTAGGTATGGTTCAAAAATCGAAGAGCTAAATGGAGAAAACGAGAAAGAAATGCAATGAATGCTGCAGCAGCTGCAGCTGTTGATTTTAAAAACGGGTTCGGTACGCAATTCAACGGCCTCATGCAGCCATTTACTGATACG